AAAATGATAAATACTCAAGGTGAAGTATTCACCAAATACGCTGACTTTATCACTACACATTCTATGCATTTAACAAATACTCATATAAACCCCACAAATACATAAAATATTATGCATCCATTAAAAAAGAGATAAAGGGAGTTATTTAACCTGAAATGAAAAGATACTAATTAGTAACATGAAAACATCTGAAAAAAGTATAAAACTCACTGGGTAAAGGTAAATATATAGTCAAATTCAGAATACTCTAATACTGTAAAGGTGGGTTATAAATCAGTTATTTCTAATATAAAGGTTAAAAGACAAAAGTATGATTAGGTATGCATTGTCTGATTTCTTTAAGACTAAGTTGGGCAGTTGATATCTCTGAAATTTCACTTTGACACTTCTTGTTTTATGTTTATTGGGATGGTATATTCTTAGTCTTCAAATGCACGTTTTGGCCTATTATCTTTCAAATATTTTTGTAGAGCAATTTTTGTGAGACCACAGATAAATCAAAAATTCATGTTATTTTCAAATATGAGTTCCATCATGGAACCAATGCAGCACAGACAGTTCAAAATATCAACAAAAAGTTTGGGAAGGATGGGCTAATGAACACACAGTATGTGGATGATTTGAGAAGTTCCATTCTGGTGATTTTAACCTTGAAAATGAGCCACATGGGTGACCTGAAACCAAGGTGGATAATGATGAGCTGAAAGCTGGAAGCAAATCCATCTCAACCTACTTATGAATTAGCAGCGAGGTTTGACGTTACTATTCCAACAATACTGGACCATTTGAAACAAATGGGCAAGGTAAAGAAGACAGATAGACAGGTTCCACATGACTTAAATGAGCATCAGAAGAGAAATCATCTTGAAACTTGCCTTTCTTTGCTGTCACAACATAAAGGCAAACCATTTCTACACTGTACTATTAAATGTGATGAAAAATGTATTCTTTTTGACAATCACAAGTGTTCGGCACAATGGTTGGATAAAGATGAGGCGCCAAAACCAAGTCCAAAACTGAATACTCATCAAAAAAAGCGAATAGTGTATGTTTGGTAGTCCAGCACTGGTATTATCCACTACAGCTTTATGAAACCTGGTCAATCAATTACTGCAGATGTCTACTGCAACCAACCGGATGAAATGATGAGCATGCTTGTGATTAAGCAGCCGAGATTGGTCAGTAGAGATAGGCCAATGCTCCTGCAAGGCAGTGTTCGATCACTTCACACAAACAGCGCTGCTCAAACTACAGAGGCTGGACTTGGAAGCTGTCATCCACCATATTCACCAGACCTTGCACCAAACCAACAGACTAGCACTTCTTCCAGGCGTTGGACCACTTCTTGCAAGGACAACTATTCAATTCTCAACAAGCTGTGGAAAACACCTTTTGAGATTTATCGCCACTCACTCTCCAGCTTCTTCATTTAACAAGCTACTGTTAAGATTGCAAAACTCTCTCAGTAGTTTAGGCACATACTTCAATTAAATGTACTGATCTTGTTTGAGATATAATAAACTACACTAGATTCAAAATTGGACATTTCATATTTAATTACCTAAATAAAAATAATTATTGTTATAATAATTTGTTAATGGAAACACAATATAAAAGGCTATAAACAGTGACATCAAAAACATAAAATGGTGGGGATAATAAAAGGGTAGAATTTTTGTATGTAATTAAAATTAAGTTTCTATGAGCTTATAACAGATTGCTATAAGATGTTTTATGTAAAGTATGAAGTATAAACACAAAGCAAAAACCTACAGTAAATATATAAAAAATAAAATGAAAGTAATCAAAGCATACCATTACAGAAAATCATCAAATCACAAAGGAAGACAGCAAGAGAGGAAGAAAAAAATAAAACAACTAAACAATAGTCAGAGAATAATTGACAAATGGCAATAGTAAGTCCTTACATATCAATATTACTTTAAATGTTAATGGATTAAATTCTCCACTCAAAAAAACATAAGAGTGGTTAAATGGAATTAAAAATAAACAAAAAACAAGATCAAAGTATATGCTACCCATAAGAAACTCACTTCAGCTTTAAAGATACACATAGGTTTATAGTCCATGCAAATGGAAACCAAAAGAGAACAGCAGTAGCTACACCAAATATCAGACAAAATAGACTTTAAGTCAAAAGTATAGGCTGGGCGCTGTGGCTCACGCCTGTAATCCTAGCTCTTGGGAGGCCGAGGCGGGCGGATTGCTCAAGGTCAGGAGTTCAAAACCAGCCTGAGCAAGAGCGAGACCCCGTCTCTACTATAAATAGAAAGAAATTAATTGGCCAACTGATATATATATAAAAAAATTAGCCGGGCATGGTGGCACATGCCTGTAGTCCCAGCTACTCGGGAGGCTGAGGCAGAAGGATCACTCAAGCCCAGGAGTTTGAGGTTGCTGTGAGCTAGGCTGACGCCACGGCACTCACTCTAGCCTGGACAACAAAGTGAGACTCTGTCTCAAAAAAAAAAAAAAAAAAGTATAAAATGACAAAGAAGGTCATTATATAACAATAAAGGGGTTGATTCATTAAGAGGATATAACTATTGTAAATATATATGCACCCAATATATCAAAGCACCTAAATCTACAAAGCAAGCATTAATAGATCTGAACGGAGAAATAGCAATACAATAATAGTGGCAGACTTCAATACTCCACTTTCAGCAATAAATAGATCATCCAGACAGAAAATCGATGAGGAAACATTGCATATTTCAAAGCTGCTAAAAGAGAGTATCTGAAAATATTTATGACATATATCACACATGAAGTCTAATATCTCTATAATTAAAGAACTCCTAAAAAATTGAGAAGGGAAAGAACAAAAATCAGATTTAAAAAAATGGCTTGCACCAATTCACATACACACACAAAAATTTTTAAGGGCCTCAAGCATACAAAAAGATATATTATAGCTTATCTCATGACACTCTCTTTCATTCACTACGTTCCTTAAACATTCCAAACTTTATTCTTCTGCAGAAACTTCACACTTGTTTCTTCCCTCTTAATGCTCTCCCCCTCCAACTCTTCAAACCATTAGCCCCTTCTCATTCTTCAGGTTTTCCCTTAAAAGCCATCTATCTCCTCAGGGAGGCCTTCTCTGATCCCCTATTCAAAGTACTATCTGTCCCTCCACCACAATTAAGTGCCCTTTTTATTTCCTTAGGAACACAACATAAACTGTTACTGTCTCTCCAATTTGAATGTTACCTTCCTAAGGGAAGGTGCTCTGCCTGTCTTGCTCACTGTTGGATCCTCAGTGTCTGGCACAGAATTTGGCATATATTTTAAAGAACAGGGCTAATAAAAAAAGTAATGAGAGGTTAGGAAGTACAATACTAGACTTCAGGATCTGAGAGGTGAAACCGTAAGAGTGAAGACAAGGTCCAAGAAGTAGAATTGCAGGCAGGTGCTAAAAGGAATTAAGGAGATTCAAAGAACTGATATTACAAAGCATGGGGGTATATTATCCACATTTTTACTAAAGTCATAAACCACAATATTCCTTGATATGAGTACTATCTCTAGCTAATCCTTCCACTTCTCTTAGTAACTTACATTCAATAAAACTTTTTAAAAAACATCTCCTTGAGACTTCTAATCACTTATCTCTCCTTTTCTTTTACCCAATTCATCCAACTCTTCTGGCTCTACTTGCTTCCTTCTCCAACCTATACCCTCAATCTACAATCCCCACATCAATGCCTAACTTTTCCCCCTTTTTGTAGTGATTCTCAAACATGAATCTAAGAATAACCTAAAATAGTTTAAAATTTATCACATTCCAGGGGCCCCACCTTTCTGATTTAGTTGGTCCAAGGGGGAGGCCCAGGAATCCACATTTTAACAAGTACCCCCCAGAAGATCTGGATACAGGTGATCCAAGAACTAAAGGAAACACTAGTCTGAAGCAAATTCCATTAAAAATACCATGCCTACATGCTACCTTTTGTCATGAGAGATTTTCCCAATCAGTGGATAATAAAGAGCCAGCTACTTTTAGGTGGGGACATTTTTCTTATATTGAAAAGGGATCCTCATAATTTCCAAAAAAAAATTGGAAATCACCACTCTGTAGAATAAAGTCCAAATTCCTTAAGAGGACACACAACAAAAACATTCTGTGGCCTAGATGTCTAAGCATATCTCTCTTATACAACCTTTGTGATTTTTCCTATTATCCTATAGCTAACACCTAATATACTATCACTTTATCATAACAATACTTCAAGAGTATTCTAAATTTTTGGAATTAGGAGGATAGCTTAGAAATCAGGTAATTCAACTCCTTAATTTTACAGAGAAGGACATCATCTTCTTGCATGCCATTTGTTTCCTGATAAATACTTTTATCTGTTCTATTTCTTAATAACTGAAGAGCAACAGAGGATGTAAAATTTCCTAGTATCCTCTAACAACTTGGAAACAGTGAGTTTCAATTTGATTTCCCTTTGCCATTTAGGTTTCCATGCTCTAGTGATACCACTAAATACAGTGGTAAACTCATCTCTTTGCAGACATAATGCAGATTTGCTGCTGTGGGTTTAGTCTGTGCGAACCTCAAGAATAAAACAAGGGTAAGTAAAGTTTCTGGAGTTTAGCTCTTTAATCATATAAATGAAATCCATATAATGATGATGACCGCAGTTAACTTTTATTGACTCTTTGTTCTTTCTATTGTGCTAAGCACTTCATATCATTATCTCCTTCAGTTATCCTTTAAGTTAGGTAGGCAGTAATTGTTGTCTTCATTTAACAGTTAATAAAACAAGGCTCTGACAAGTTAAATAAATGCCCAAGGTCCCACAAGTAAACTCTTCCTCAGGTATTATTAGCACCTTCCAATTCAGGGCAGGCCTCCCTCAATCCGCAGGCACTGACCCCTTAATCCCTTTCCCATCCTCCAGGCGGTTGGGTAGGGGGCACACTCTGGGGGCCCTCGCCTCCTGCTGCGGCCGGGACCCCCGACTCACGTTCAGGAGCCGGTTCCCGGTGCCCTCTTTGCCCTTGTCCTTGGGCGTCTTGCCACGGTCCTGGGTTACTTGGATGGAAGAGACTTCTGACCCTCTTACATTGTCTGGGTTGCCATAGGGACTTCTCGGAAGAACAGGTACGGTGTACAGCGAAGGGGCCCGCCCGCCACGGTTCTCAGTTGTGTTGGCAGGCCTACTTGTCTCTCGGGGCGGCTCCATCCTTCCATCCTCCCGGCCTGTTACCGCCTAACCGACAGCCCACGACCGCTACTGCGCAAGCGCGACCCTCGGGGTGCTTTTCCCGCGCGCGCAGCCGCACGTGACCAGTGCAGGCCTGGCCCCTGCGCAGGGGCGGCGAAAGGGTACTGGCTTTGGGGGTGTGCGAATTTAGCTACCATGGAGGGTCAGCTGCAAGCACTTGCTAGGCATTTCAGTCTCCTGTAGAAGAAGGTCAGAGCACGCTGGTGGAGAGCAAGGCTCCTCAGCACCGTGATTAAACTACTTAAGTTCATTGTCTTGTTTGCCCTTTAATCGTGAGCCCTCTTCTCCCTGCACCAGTTCTTTTTAGGAGATTTACAGTATCAATCGTCACTTCCTGTACACTGTCCCCTGGGCTCCAGATGTCACAGTGCCGACGTTCTACTTGGACATCTTTACCCGATTGCTATACAGACACAAAACACAACATTCACATACACAGCGCAATATGCATCTTCCCTCCTAAACCTGTATATTCCAAACTCATTTGATGTAGCAATGTCGCATCCACAAAATCTTAAAAATTCAGATGTTTTTAAATTTTAACCCTAAATATCTGAACCTAGTTTGGGACATCTCACGCACAGGTGACTGTAATGGCTTACTCATGGATCTCCCAGTCTCCTGTCACCCATTCCTTTTACTGCCACAGTATTAGAATAATTTTACCATTAAAAACAAACAAAACCAGAAATTTCTAGAACTTATTAGCCACAAAATCTTAATTGCTTACTATGGAAACCAAGGGCCTCCAAAATGCACTTTCCTATGTTAGGATCATTATTGTTAGGGTGTGAAGTCCATACCATGGGGAAGAAAGAATTCTCAGTGATCAGGATATACAAAAGTAAAAGTTTATTTATTTTCAAGACAGAGAGAGTGAGAGAGAGAGAATGAGAAAGAGAGAGAATGAGAAAGAGAGAAACTGGCACGACAGGGAGGAAGGAAATGTCAGGAAGTGAGGAAAGTTGCTTGGTGCTTTTAAAGGGTAAAAATGGCCTTTTTTTTCTCTCTCTCTCTGTCTCTCTCTGTTTCAGCAGACTGATAACAAAAACGGCTTCGAGATGTCAGGGAGTTCTTTATTTCTTTTTTCTTTTTCTGTAAGGCTGGCTTATCTGAGTCCTTGAAATCTGGGGATTTTTTGGAAGAAACTTAGGCAAAGAGCTGGAGCAGGGAGTTTGCACCCCTATTGTCTGCTCAGGAACTTTTCAAGGCTGTTTAAACAATACTCAAAAAAACCTTTTTTACAGGCAGTGAATTTTTGGTGACAGTCCATCAGATAATCTACCCTTTCCTCCCCTCTCCCAGGAACATTTTTCCCTTTTGGAGTGTGAATTGACCACCCCTGCAAATATTAATGAAGATTTGTACCTTCTTTTGTTTTGCTCAGCTTTTTAAAATTTCTAGGTAAACATCTCTGTAGGAGAGATATTCATGTTACTAACCTTAGAGGAAAGGCTTATGCTTCTCTAAGTAGCTGCCAATTAGAAATTTGTTCGTTAGCCTGTTGGCAAGACCATTCTTTCAATTATTTGTTATTTTTTCTGGAATCTATTCTTTTATTCAAGTACCAGCTCAAACATCAGCTTTCAGTTAAGTCTTTTTAAATCTTTTTTTAAATTTTATATATTTTTTTATTTCAGGATATTATGGGTGGACAAATGTTTGGTTAAGTCTTATAACCCCATACACATACTTCAAAAGCAGAATTAACTGCTGCTCTCAAGCTACTACTTGGCATATCCCTTGTCAACCTAAACAACAGAGAGGAAGAAGCTCTAAAAGAAAATGATGTTTATTCTAGAATAGCCATTGCAATGGGATAACAAGTGCCCTAGAAAACTGTATATTCAGGGAGGTAAAGGAAGATAAAGGTTTCTAAAGCAAAAATGAGAATGGACTGGATATGAGGTATTATAAAATTGTACTCCAGTTGTTTTAATGATATTGTACTTACATAGACAAATGTCCTTATTTTTAGAAGGTGAATGCTGAAATATTCAGGTGAAGTGCCATGATATTAACAACTTATTTTCAAAAGATTTCAAAAGAAAAAAGGGAGATGTACAAATAAAGAGCAACAAGGCAAAAATTTAACAATTATTAAGTCTAGGTTGATCCAGAGTATAGTTGCTATTATACTTTCAACATTTTTGTTTGATAATTTCCAAGTAAAAATCCCTCAGGGCTCATAAGTATGGTCTTTTTCTAATTCCCCATCTCCACCAGAAGTCCCATCCATCCTATAAAGTTCACACTCAACTTACCCACAATTCTTTTCTAGATTCTTCTATGCCTATGCCTTTGTCTCTTGGACTAGATTATGAGCCTCTAGAAGGCAGATACCAAAGTTATACTCATTTTTTTTCATTTTTGTTGTCCTCCCACAAACTTAGCAATTTGACCAAGATCAAATCATCTACCACAGTCTAAGCTTTATGTTTCAGAATAAATTACAACTGGTTTATGTAAGTCAGAGGTCCTAAATGCTGGCTACTCTAATGGCTATATCATAATCACCAAGTGTGCCTTTTTTTAAAATGTAGTTTTCCAGAAGACCCCAAAGGGAATCACAGCAACAACAAAAATAAATAAATGGGACCTGATCAAATTAAAAAGCTTCTGCACAGCCAAAGGAACTGTCACAAAAGCAAACAGACAACCTACAGAATGGGAGAAAATTTTTGCAAGCTACACATCTGATAAAGGGCTGATAACTAGAATCTATTTAGAACTCACAAAAATCAGCAAGAAAAAATCAAACCCTATCAAAAAGTAGGCAAAGGACATGAACAGAAACTTTTCAAAAGAAGACAGAATAATGGCCAAGAAACATATGAAAAAATGCTCAACATCTCTAATCATCAGGGAAATACAAATCAAAACCACAATGAGATATCACTTATTTCCAGTGAGAATGGCTTTTATCAAAAAGTCCCAAAACAATAAATATTGGCATGGATGCAGAGAGATACAAACGCTCCTACACTGCTGGTGGGGCTGCAAACTAGTGCAAACTCTGTGGAAAATAATATGGAGATACCTTAAAGTGATACAAGTAGATCTACCATTTCTTCCAGCAATCCCATTACTGGGCATCTACCCAAAAGAACAAAAGACATTCTATAAAGAAGACATCTGCACTTGTATGTTTATAGCAGCACAATTCACAATTGCAAAGATGTGGAAACAACCCAAGTGCCCATCAATACATGAGTGGATTAATAAAATGTGATATATGTATACCATGGAGTACTATTCAGCTTTAAGAAACAATGGTGATATAGCACCTTTTGTATTTTCCTGGGTAGAGCTTGAACCCATTCTACTAAGAGAAGTATCCCAAGAATGGAAAAATAAGCACCACATGTACTGACAAGCAAATTGGTTTCACTGATCAACACCTAGGTGGACATATAGGAATAACATTTATCAGGCGTTGGGCAGATGGCGGGGGTGGGGGAGGAGGGGATGGGTATATACATACATAATGAGTGCAGTGCGCACTATCTGGGGGATGGACATGCTTGAAGCTCTGACAGAGGGGGGAGCAAGGCAATATACGTAACCTAAACATTTGTACCCCCATAATATGCTAAAATAAAAACAAATAAATAAAATAAAATATGATACAAGGTCTGAAAAGTAAAAAAAAAAAATGTAGTTTTCCAGGCACCACCTCAGACCTATTGAAGCTGAATCTCTGAGGAGGAGATGCTTCTTTGGAAGGTGGGGAAGGGAGGGGAGAGACAAGTATTCCTAAATACTTTATTTTACAAGAAAAACTCTTGCTTATTGACACCTCAGAAACTCTACTATCACTACCCACCCACCTAATATGGGAGAAAGGTGAGAAAAAAGATGTGATTACAAGGCTAGGACCTCCAATGGGGTTCCAGCTGATCAAATTTGGCTTCTAGCACAGCAATTTTAATGAGGCACTGAGAATGTCATGATGGATAAAGGAATTAACTATCAGAGCCCCTATGCCTTTTGGTCTGATGCCTTGAGCTGCCCGTGTTTAGTTCAGGAGGAGAAATCTACTCAACTGGCTAGTGCTTAAAAATTTCAGGGGCTTTCCTGCTGAATGCCTAATTGGCTATGACTTATTTCCATAAATATGAGTTCTTTGTACCTGACCAAGGATTTTAACCAGCAAGGTGTCCCTGTGTTATCTGTCCAGTGCAGTGTCTCACCACCAGTTGACAATAAAAACATCTTGAGTAATGAGTCATGATGAATTTATCTATTGAACCAGACCAGCTTGTATGCCAACCTGGTCCACTAGAAACTAGAGAAAGTTGCATGAATTCTTATCCACAACCTTAGCAACATGCCTTGAGTTAGTCACTGTGAGATCATTCCCTACCTCCTGGAGACATGCATTAGCAATGAACTTCTCCCAAGCTTCCCAATCACTACACTCAAAGGAATCTTTGATAGGACACCACTGGGTTTTCCCTGATGAAGGGCTCGTACAGGTCCACCAGCTTGTCAGGATTATGTACCTCCTGGGGTCATCAGGAGATGTGAAGTCCAGATGGTATTTCCCAGATCTGAAGGAATTCAAGGCGACTATATCCATGTCAATTACAAATTATCAATGTAGCCAGCTTTTCCAATTGCATTCCATAGCAGCTCCTGTCTTCTTTATTCTCTAGGATGTAAGAAGCAAAACTCCCACCAACCCTGTACTGGCATTCTATTGCTGCCATAACAAAATACCACAAATTTAGCTTAGCCAACACACACAGCTATCTTACAGCTCTGTATGTCAGAAGTCTTACATGGAGGCACCAGGCCAAAATCAAGATGCCCACAGAACTGTATTCCTTTTTGTAGGTTCTAGGGGAGAACCTGTTTCCTTGCTCATTTAGGATGTTGGCAGAATTCAGTTTCTTGCAATTATGGGACCAAGATCCATTTCCTTACTAGCTGTCAACCAAGGGCCACACTCGGCTTCTAGAGGTCATCCACATTCCTTGGCCAGTGGCCCCCTCCTCCACCTTCAAAGCCAGCAATGATCTCTCTAACAAAGCTTGAGAATAGGGATGGTAAATTTCTACTGGTATTTCCTGTTGCTCAAAAAAAAAAAAAAAAAAAAAGAAGAAGAAGAAGAGGAAAGGGTACTGGTGAGGTCAATTGGGAGTGTCAGCCCCACAAGCTCACCAGCCTCTCCTTTACTCCCCTGAGCTCTGGGCCTGTTCAGCTTCTCTTTTGCTACATGTTTTTTTGTTTGTTTGTTTTTTGAGACAGAGTCTCACTTTGTTGCCCAGGCTAGAGTGAGTGCCATGGCGTCAGCCTAGCTCACAGCAACCTCAATCTCCTGGGTTCAAGCAATCCTGCTGCCTCAGCTTCCCAAGTAGCTAGGACTACAGGCATGCGCCATCATGCTCAGCTAATTTTTTGTATATATATTTTTAGCTGGTCAATTAATTTCTTTCTATTTTTGGTAGAGACGGGGTCTCGCTCAGGCTGGTTTCAAACTCCTGACCTCGAGCAATCCGCCAGCCTCAGCCTCCCAGAGGGCCAGGATTACAGGCGTGAGCCACCGCACCCGGCCTATGTTTTTTAAAGCTCCCTACATCTGCAGACCCCAACCCCGGTACTGGTCCATGGCCTGTTAGGAACTGGGCATACAGCAGGAGATGAGCAGGAGGCAAGTGAGGTAAGTTTCACCTGTGTTTACAGCCACTCCCCATCACTCACATCATCTAATTATAAACTCTGCCTCCTGTCAGATCAGCAGCAGCATTAGATTCTCATAGGAGCATGAACCCTACTGTAAACTGCACATGCGAGGAATCCAGGTTGCTCACTCCTTATGAGAATCTAATGCTTGATGATCTGAGGTGGAGCTAGGGGGTGATGCTAGCACTGGGGAGCGGCTGCAAATACAGGTTATCATTAGCAGAGAGGTCTGACTGTACAATAAATGTAATGTGCTTGAATCATCCCAAAACCATCTCCCACCTCCAGTCCGTGGAAAAGTTGTCTTCCATGAAACCAGTCCCTAGGGCCAAAAAGGTTGAAGACCATTGCCCTACATGATTCTGATGTGCAACCAGATATGGGAACCACTGGTATAGATTTTAAAGAGAAGTAACTTTTCAGGTTATAAAACTTTTCAAACAAAAAGATATATTTCCTTTTTATTAGCCATGATATAAAGCATCTTTAAAGCTAAATTACATATAATTGTTACATGATACACAATACACTAAGACAATTTCAGAAAAGACAAATTTCATATTTCAATTTATTCAGTAAGAGACATCAAAAATAAATAATAAAGGCCTTTTTTCCCTTCTACCTTATACTCTAAATTTATGTTTAAACCTGATATATATTTTATAACACTAAAGTTATGGCTTTTTCTGAATTAGTGCTTTTTAAGATAATGATTATAAATACAACTAATTTGAGAAAAAAGGAAATAAACACTTTCACCTGCTGGTTTCTAGCTCATTATCTCCTTTGTCATTGAGATGATAATGCTATAGAAATTAATGTTTGGGTATAAACAGCAGATACAATTTTAACATTTTTCATAATCTTGAGAAATGTTTCAGTATTATATAATAAAAAAATCTATTACAAATGCACATATACACATCTTATAAAAATATATTTAAAAACAAAAATGGGAAAAATACTGGGTCATTATTCCTCTGAAGGTGAGTTGGCATTATGAAGAGGCTTTGATTGCTTTATCTTTATCAGGATATTCTTCCACATCAGAAGAGAACATTAACTCTGGAGAAGAAAATGAACATGTACTTAAAAAGGTTTCCTAATGCTCCACAAAGAGTTTTATAGCTTATTAATAAATAGTCATTTGAGATAGTGAAATATGATTTACAAGGTGAGTTAATAACAAATGCACAAGTTTGATATTTTAAAATGTTCAAGTTTTAAATTTATTATGAACCCCAGAAAAAATAAAACACATATAATGGAGACAATATAAGGAAATCTTACCAGGAAATTTAAGCTATTTAGAGAATCCGGGATCATTAAGCAGCTAAAAGGTCTAATTCTACAGTGATCAGATAATTTAAAATGTAGAGGACAGATACAGAGGAAGGACTTGGGACTAAGAACAAGTATATGCCAGGATATTTTTAATGTGTTATCCCATTTAATCACCAAAACAATCCAATAAGCTAGGTATTATCATCCCCATTTTATATTTACTTTTTTAACCCACATGTTATGTGACTCACATGGCCTGAAAAGAGAGCAGGATTCTGGGTATATTTACTAAGTAACACACTTTGTGATTTAGACTGAATACTGCACAACCCAGCTGAATGTATCTTCAATCCCAACCATAGAATAGAATGTCATTAGTTGACATAACTATCATTTAGCATAGATACGGAACTTATTAAAATGCCAATAAAGCTAATGCCTATAATCCTAGCACTCTGGGAGGCTGAGGCGGACGGATTGTTTGAGCTCAGTAGTTTGAGACCAGCCTGAGCAAGAGTGAGACCCTGTCTCTATTAAAAAAATAGAAAGAAATTAGCTGGACAACTAAAAATATATAGAAAAAATTAGTCAGGCAGGGTGGTGCATGCCTGTAGTCCCAGCTATTTGGATGGCTGAAGCAGGAGGATTGCTTGAGCCCAGGAGTTTGAGGTTGCTGTGAGCTAGACTAATGCCACAGCACTCTAGCCTGGGCAACAAAGTGAGAGACTCTGTCTCAAAAAAAAAAAAAAAAGCCAATAAATATAGAAAAAGAAAACCTTAAGAATCTAGTAAAATAAAGTCCCCTAAGTATTAGATGAAAAATTCTTTGAATAAACAAAAATTATACTAAGTGAAAGTAAAAAAGTAAAATACATAAAGCCTAAGAAGCTTTTTAAATACTTTAAATGCATCAAAAGGAATAGAGCAACACAATATTCACTGGAGCAACAAGAGAATTACAATACAAAATGGTACACTCATGAAGGGAAATACATGAGAAAATTATATTCTTTGTCACAGTTTTTGTAAATGGAAATGTTGGGAAGATTCTTCATTCTAAGACTTCTGAGATGGACTGGTTATAATTAGTTGATCAAAAATATTATCATAACCCAAGTCCAGAACATATCCATAAAAGACATTCAAGATCCTCATTTGTATAGTGGTTAAAAAAAAAATTCAAGAATGAAATTGTGGAACAACTGTCAAGGAAATGTAATTTACAATACAAATACTAAGCAGTTCCTAAAGCAGTGCTAAAGGATTAGCAGTTTGCTGATATGATTCCTCTTTTTCAGGTGTTCCAAAAGGGGTCTAAGAACTAGAGATTGGTGAATCTCACTACACACTGAGCATGTTAAAGGTAAGATTACTAAACACTTTGTTAGTAATGAAGGGTTAAGGATTTGTGCCAAGAGGAGGAAGAAGAATAATTTACTTGAATATGTGTCTGAAAGGCTACACAGATGAAGTATGATGTATTTCAATTTAAGAGATGCTTTCATCAGGAGACTTAGAAAAGTGAAGAGCAAAGACTTTCCATAAATTACTTGAGGGTTCCAAGAGAAGAAATATTCCCCAGTTATGCACGAGGGCCACAGAAGCCCCTCATTAAGTACTTCCAGACTCTAGCTCTCCTCCTGCTTCTCATCATACACTTCATTTCCATTCTTCTTTTTTGTTTTCTAGGTTTTTTTGTTGTTGTTGTTTTGAGGTTTTTTTGTTATTGTTGAGACAAGGTCTCGCTCTGTTGCCTGGGCTAGAGTGCAGTGGCGTCATCATAGCTCCCTGTAACCTCAAACTCCTGGGCTCAAGCAATCTTCCTGTCTCAGCCTCCCAAGTAACTGGGACTATAGCACCGGGCCACCACATTCAACTAAGTTTTCTATTTTTTATAAAGACAGGTCTTACTCTTGCTCAGGTAGGTCTTGAACTCCTGGCCTTAAGCAATCCTCCTGCTTTGGCCTCCAAGACTACTAGGATTACAGGCATGAGTCACCACACCAAGCCTTTCCATTCTTCTTATATCATATTAATTTAAATATGTATTTGTTATTGGAATATAATATGCTATACACATTAAAAGAAGATTTGTAAAGTCATTATAAAAGATTTCAGGATATTTTTATACTATTTTTTCTTTAATACCTTCACTAAGATCCATGCCTGGTCTATAAGACAAAAAAAGCCAAGATAATCCGACCAGAAGAGCCACAACCAGATTCACCACAATCCATGGCGGGAGAATCTGTTCCTCAATTCCTGCTGCCCTAAAGATGTAGAAATGTTCATTAGAAATGTCTTCATTTGTATTTCATATATCCAAATGTACCTATTTTATCAACTTTAATAAAAAACAACAGTCTCCTCCTATAGAAATAACAAATTGGGCACGAAAAAAATATAATTTCCCTATAAAACACACCATATATATCATGAGATCAAAGGCTCAAAGGTTATTTGAACTCTAAACAGATCTGCTCTATACACTAATATAAATGGAAAGTTGTCATTCCCCAAAAAATTTTCTACAAGTTTCCCTTCCAACTACCACGACATTACTCATCTATGAAATATCTTTCCTTTCTCTCTTTACCCCTAGCCACTCTTTCAAAAAAGACTGCCCCTCTGAGTTTTATGAACTAGAATCTCAGCCGTTCTGTCAGCTTCATGGCTAGCCACCCTTCTGCAGATGCTGGCTCTCCGTAGTCTGCTCTTTATAGCAGTCCTTGGATTTCTGAATCTGTCTCCACTATACACTCCCATCACTGCTTTGGCATATAGGCTCCCTGATAGGAAGTAAGGATGCAAAGTTCCCCCAGTCCACTGTGTGATGACTTATTTTAAAACCATAACTTGAAAACCTAAAACAGATTTTCAAAAAGAAGACGTTTCATTAAAAATGCAGATACCGTGTTTCCTGAAAATAAGACAGGGTCTTATATTTTTTTTTCCTCAAGAAGACACCCTAGGGCTTATTTTCAGGGGATGTGTTATTTTTTTTAAGTATGGTACAACAATCTACATTTATTCAAATATAGTTAAGTCATCTTCTGGAACATCATCATAACTCTCCAAACCCTGAATTCCATCCTGAATTTCTTGCAACTCTATTTCCTTTAGAACCATTGGCCCCAATCTCTCATGTCGAGCAATAGAGGCAGATGAGAAGGGCTACTCATCTTCTTCACTGCTCCGCCACAAAATGCATGGGTTGTGCAGATATGCTGTGTAACCACGCCCATCACTAGGTCTTTTTTTCAGGGTAGGGCTTGTATTGCGCAAATGCTTAGAAATCCTGCTAGGGCTTATTTTATGGGTAGGTCTTATTTTCGGGGAAACACAGTATATATAACTATACTTATCTGTTAACCAAAAAGAACAGGTATTTTCTTGCCATAGTTTTGGAAACAAAAACAGGGCCTTCATTATTATTTATAGATGAAAAAGAAAGGAACAATAAGAAAAGTACCATTACTCCCATTGTCACTGTTGCCATTAACAATTGCTAATGTCATCGTGAATTCTTACCAGAGGCTACCATTAACAGAAGAAGGTGTGTAAAGGTGGATTCTGTCACTTGTCATTTGCTGACTCAGAGATAGTATAAGAGCAGTAAAGTACACTAAGAAAAAGACAAATGAAATTACTAGTAATTTTTAACAACCTGGTTTGTTTTGAATTTATAGATTACTTTAAGGTCAAAAATAATCTGTTACTTTGGTGAATGATGACATAAAAGAAATGCACGTGGCCAATTTCAATAGGCTTAATATCCTTATATCATTTTTTGAGAACACAGGTGCAGAGGGATCTTTTGAGATGCTCACTATTTTATCATTGGAACTGACAAGAACCTATAAGATCTTTTAAAAAATTAAATGACTTGCTCAAAGTCCTAAAACCAGTTTTATTAATATTCTCCTAACTTAGAATAAAATGATCAAGTTACCAAAATTATCAGAAAGATATAAAAGTTTTTGCTACTAAAAGGCCATATCAGCTCAATCTGTTTAATGTCAAGTAGAAAATATAAAAGATAAAAATTAAGTAATATAAAGCAATAAAACTTTTAAAAGTTATTTAACAGGCCGGGCGCTGTGGCTCACGCCTGTAATCCTAGCTCTTGGGAGGCCGAGGCGGGCGGATTGCTCAAGGTCAGGAGTTCAAAACCAGCCTGAGCAAGAGCGAGACCCCGTCTCTACTATAAACAGAAAGAAATTAATTGGCCAACTGATATATATATAAAAAAAAAAATTAGCCGGGCATGGTGGCACATGCCTGTAGTCCCAGCTACTCGGGAGGCTGAGGCAGAAGGATCGCTTGAGCCCAGGAGTTTGAGGTTGCTGTGAGCTAGGCTGACGCCACGGCACTCACTCTAGCCTGGACAACAAAAGTGAGACTCTGTCTCAAAAAAAAAAAAAAAAAAAAAAAAAAAGTTATTTAACAAACCTAAAAGTTATTTAATGAAAAATAATTCTATTAAAATTATGCTTACCATGTTTTAATTATAAATTCCCTGAACATTTATACACATTGTTTAAAAGGAACAATAATATAAAACTTTTTAAAAACTAAAATTATATCTTTCCTGGTTCAAAATTACAGTATAACTCAAGTATTAAATAGTTGTCAAATTAAAGTATTTACTCACAGAAAGATGCTAAAGCTGTTGGATCCAGGGCAAAAAAATTTCGGATTGCTACTGATGTTTTAGCGAAGTCAATCCTAGAAAATACAAAAGCATTTTGTCACAATGCCACTGTAAACTCCTTAACAAAACTTTACTTTCCCGACCACAGTTTTTTCCTTCTCTATTCTAATGCTACCACATACACTGTTTATTACTAGGTTTTAAGTAGCTACAGGTTATTCTTACTACACATGAAAAATATCTTATTTACAAAAGCTACATAAAACATCTAACTAGAAGACTAATTTAGGCAACAGTCCTATAAAGTTAAGACATCCTGAAGAAACAGATTAAACTTGATCTGCAAAATTGCATTAGCTTCTACCTTTTTCTATTACTTGTATCATTGAGCTACAACTAGGTGTTTTTTAAATGGGTTGAATTACATTCCCAAAAATGTATGTTGAGCTCCTAACCCCTGGTACTTGTGAATGTGACCTTATTTGGAAACAAGGTCTTTGCAGATGTTATAAAGATACTATAACTGGTGTCCTTATAAGAAAAGAAGAGACACAGACATGAGATACACAGGGAAGAGTGCCATGTGATGACAGAGGCAGATATTGGAGTGATGCATCTACAAACCAAAGAATGCCAAGGACTGCCAGCAATCACTGGAAGCAAGGGGAGGGGCATGGAACAGACTTTCCCTCAGAGGCCTCAAAAAGAAACCAACCTTGACCACATCTTCACTTCAGACTACTAGCCTCCAGAACTGTGAAAGAACAAATTTCCATTGTTTTATGCCAGCGTGTGTGTGGTACTTTGTTACAGCAGCCCTAGAAAACTAATACAATGCCCTGAGTCTTACCTATATCTGATTTAGTTGATTTTGAAGATGATATTTGGGGATTTTTCAGTTTGATTATATTTGGATGAAATTTTGGACTTAAGAGTTGATGCTGGAATGGATTAAGACTTTTGGAGATATTTTGTTCACAGTAGTTCCATCCCCCAAAAAAGAATAGAAATAGACTGGCTTTAAAAATGTTAAAGTAATATTAATATCCTACAAATCTATTTTGAAAACTGTCATAGCCAGTGACACATTTTGCTCAACATTTCATTAGAGGGATCTGCAATCACAACAGGGTTACCTGTCAAAAGCTGAAATTGTACTTAGAGCCAAAAGCAAGTAGAGAAGACTCTGGAATGGATATGCTAGGGTCTTGTATTGTTGTAGAAGGTTTGAGAGGTCAGATAGCTGATCTCCTGCTAGAACATATATCACAACAATATTCCACAAAGCACAGCCAGCCAAGAATCCATGAGAAAAGAGACCAATCATCCTGAATGGAAGAAGATTTAATTATTATACATGAATTACTAAAGTAAAAAGCTAAAGTATTTTTTAAATCTCTTCACATGTAAGAATAAAATTCAATATTTCATGAAAAGTAAAAATAAGCTTTTTCTTTTTACTTACACTAATAGGCAGATCACTTAATTCCAATGGAATATTTAAAAAATATACCTACCCACCATTTTAAGTTGTCAATTTTGTTAACAGTATTGAACAGCCAAGACTTTTTAAAAAAATTATGGAACCCATGTAACATTTGTTTTAAGAAAAGACCAACAACAGCAGTCACCTGAAGGCCCGGTGCACTGAAAGTGCCACATCTCTGGTGGTCCAGGAAGGTTTCATGTCCATTGACACATCTATGTTTTCTGTAGTCTTTATCAACTCTGAACGATCAGCAGCTTGGAATCGCCCTAAGAAGACATTAATGCAATAACTAATAACTAGCAAAAGAGAACTTTTTTTCATTATTCCACACTCAAAAAATCTCAGACTAAGACTGAAACTTTGCTGTTTGTCTATCTAACAATTCTCCTTGACTCAGTACCTATTTTAGAGGGCTTTTTTCTTTTGGTTGCTTAAACATACTATTTTTTCATCTATAGGAAAAATTAGCTATGTCACTATACTTTCTTCTCAACCCCAAAAATGAATGTTAAGTAACAATTTTAGAAATCGATTATATTTAATGAAATATAATAATGAACTTTCAACTCAGAATAAAGTCTAGAAACCTTTAACAAGACATCCTCTACAAAATCCTACTTTAGAGACTCCAGAAGTATTAAGGCTTAAATGCCTATACTATTGGGGTAAGTCAATACTTGAAAACTACTTTAACTTCCTTAGTAAAAGATGTTAAAGTGTGTAGCATGGATTTCTGAGATGACAGAAAAGAAATGGGCTGTTTTATAAATTCCTCTTTAGAAGATTCCTGTGAAAACTATCAGTTCAAGTGTCGGCACTGCGATAATGCATGAGCAAGGCTCTATCCTGCTGATGAGCAGGCTCCTTCTTGTATAATCTAGTAATACATAAGTGGTCCTTAGAAAGCAGGAAAGGTTCCATTTTAATTACCTTCACAATACCCAGCTCTCAGGTGTTTTGGAGGATGAAGGCAAGGGTGTGACAGTTAATTTTCCCTAAGAAAAGACAACTTCTGGGCAGACAGCAGAACCACTGGTACCTTTTATGGTCACTCTAGTAGGGAAGTTTCTATGCTAAGGGAGGGAAGAATAAAAATGAGGATTGAGTGATATTACTTAAAAATATACTGGAGTAAATTAAATGGCCACATGGTATACCAGTAAAAGCACTTGGCTAGAAGTAATGAAACCTTGGTTTAAGTTATACTTCTACACTAACCAACTATAAGAAACTGGGTAAGTCAGTTAGCCTCTCCAGCCACAGGTTTCTCATTGCCAAGAACTCCAAGATGCCTTAAATGGGAATCTGATGAAATCAGAGTTCTAAAACAATTTATACAAAATCAACATTGTAAATTTTAAGGACTAACCCTTATGTTTCAGATGAGTAGTTTAGACAGCATATCCATAGCAAATCGATGGGAGTAGTATATGATCATGATCATGCTTTGGGTAGGTTTTTCTTAAACACTGTGTTAAAGACTGAATGTGTCCCCCCAAGTTTCATATGTTGATGCTCTAACCCCCAATGTGATGGTACTTGTAGGTGGGATCATTGGGAGGTAATTAGGTTTAGATCAGGCCATGAGGGTGAGGCTCCCATGATAAAATTAGCACCCTTTTAAAAAGAAGAAGAGACATCATAATTCTCTGTCATGAGAGGACACAATGAGCAGGCAGCCATTAGCAAGGCAGGAAGAGGCCCTCACCAAGAAGCAAATCCGTGGGTACCTTGTCTTGGACTTTCCACCTTCCAGAACTATGACAAATAAATGTCTGTTGTTTACGCTACCCAGTCTACAGTATTTTGTTATAGCAGCCTAAGCTAAAATACATTGCAAACCCACTCTTATAACCAGTATATGTTATACAGTATCAGAATTATTTTCCAAAAGAATATACAGCTATAATATTGTATTTCTTACTTAATATAGTAGTACCATCATGAATTTTCTCTCATTTATTATTATTTATAGAATTTATATCATTACCTGCCCCACCAACACAACCATTACTAATTGCAGAAAACTGGTAAAGTACAATACAGTATAAAGAAACAGGTAGAAGCCAGGCATGGTGGCTCATGCCTATAATACAATCCACTGTGGGAGGCTGGGGTGGGAGGATCACTTGAGGTCAGGAGTTTGAGACCAACCTGAGCAAGAGCAAGACCCAGTCTCTACTAAAAATAGAAAAAATTAGCTGGGCATGGTGGAACATGCCTATACTCCAGCTACTTGGGAGGCAGAGGCAGGATTGCTTGAGCCCAGGAGTTTGAGGTTGCTGCAGGCTAGGCTGATGCCACGGCACTCTAGCTTGGGCGACAGAGTGAGACTCTGTCTCAAAAAAAAAAGAAAAAGAAACAGGTGGAGGTGGGAGAAGATTTTTAAAAATACCCATAATCCCATAGTCCAGAAAAAACCAGCATTAATATTTAGACCACTTCCTTCAATTATTTTTCATTAGAATCTTTCCATGAAATGAAAAATTGTCCCCAAAAGTTATTCTTAATGGTACAGAGTATTTTATTAGATAGATACACCAAAATTTACTGAAATCATTCACCTCCTATTTTGCATTTAGGTTGTTTCCAGTTTTTTACTCTCATGAATAATAGTGTGGTGATTAGCTTTGTGTATAAATGTTTGTCCATATTTTTGCTTATTTCCTTACTTCAGATTTCTAGAAGTATAATTACCAGGTCAAAGGATATCCTTGTGCAATTTTTAAAGAGCTCATTTTCTAATACTTACGGCTTTTTTCCACAAATACTTTGCCTACAGGATGGCTGATGCCAGTGGGTGCAGTGAATATAGACTGTTGTTCTGGAGTAGTTTGCTCATCAGTAATTATGTCTTCATCTTCTATTCCTAGCTCATTGGCATACTGTAATTCTGCTGGCTTGGTTTTCCTATAATAAGGGAATATATAGGGGAAATGGATGATTATTGAATTTTTACAGGCCCACATAAGGAACTATCTATAAATACAATGGAAAGAGTCCTGAATATAGTCAAGAAATTTAGTTTTTACTAAAATGAATTTGTTATTAACAGGTATGTGCAGCAAGTTGCCTATATTTCTGTGAGCCTCAGTTTTCTCATCTGGAAAATGAAATAACTAAACTAGATCTGTAAAGTTCTTTCCAAACTTAAAATTATATGATTTTATATAGATAACTATTTGTAGGGTCATTTTCAAATACAAACAATAGTGTTATATAACTTTCATTGTACTTCTTTAAAGTATGTCATTCATTTTATCTTAATTTACTATGCTAAAATTGACAGTTTTACCTGTTGCTGAAATAATCATAATTTGAACATATTTACATGAGAAAACAAATTATAATAGCCTATTTTATTATCTTTGGTTTTTAATATGGTTAATATCTAATTTATTTACTACTTATATGAAATCTTCTATTTGTGTTCTTTTTTTAGACATAGCTAAGATTTCCTATTTAAGTACAATATTAACTTTTTTATTTTTTCAGTGGTTTATTCTTTTCAAAGTTATCATCAGAGTAGTTAAACTAATATTTTATAAAACTACTTATCTTAGAGATATAAAGCTATGGGTATCCAATAAAACTTAAGGAGAAGCTACTGTTTGGGAGCTTTAAATAAAGTATCAGAGTAACTAACCCTGGAGGATATTTAGAAGGATAAACTCTTACTTTGTCTTTCTTCGAGGTTTTTGAATAACTGCCTCCTCAGCTGGCTCCACATCGATACCATTTTCATTTCGTAATAAAGATGGACTAGACGTCTTCTTTTGGGTGAAAGAAGTCTCCAATTCTGAAAATAAAATAAAGTTTTCAAATGACAAAAACATAAAAAATAATGTACCAGACTTTTGCAAGACAAGAGAACTTTAAGAATTTTAATTGGTATCCATTTCTACTGATACAAGGGAAAAAATTTAAAAAAAAAAAGAATTTTTTTTTTTTTTTTTGAGACAGAGTCTCACTTCGTTGCCCAGGCTAGAGTGAGTGCCATGGCGTCAGCCTAGCTCACAGCAACCTCAAACTCCTAGGCTCAAGCAATCCTCCTGCCTCAGCCTCCCGAGTAGCTGGGACTACAGGCATGTGCCACCATGCCCAGCTAATTTTTTCTATATATATTAGTTGGCCAATTAATTTATTTGTATTTATAGTAGAGATGGAGTCTCGCTCTTGCTCAGGTTGGTTTCAAACTCCTGAGCTCAAATGATCTGCCCACCTTGGCTTCCCAAAGAGCTGGGATTATAGGCGTGAGCCACCGTGCCTGGCCAAAAAAAGAATTTTAATTTAGCAAAATTTTTTTCACTATCTCACAAATTTTAAAATTTTACACCTCTGAACTTTCAACATAAAATGTGAAGTCACAATGCCAAACAATATGAAAAATAATTCAGTAATCCAACACCCAGGGTGTGTTAAAGATCCCCAAGATTACCACCAGGTTCAGTGATTTGCTAGAAGGGCTCACAGGACGCAGAAATCATTACATTCACAGTTATGGTTTACTATAGCAAATGAATATAAAGCAAAATCAACAAAAGCAAAAGTACATGGAACAAAATCCAAAGGAAACCGGGTACAAGCTTCCAAGAGTCCTCTATCAGTGGAGTCAAAGAGGATGCACGAATCCTTCAGCAATGAGTTGGGACAACACATGACATATGTTCTACCAGGTAAGCTCACTAGAGATGCAGAGCCCAAGGTTTTCATTGGGGGCTAGTCACATAGGGCTAGCACATACCAAAATTCCAGATTCTCAGAAGGGAAGCAGGTGTCCAGCAAAAATCATATTGCAAACACAAATGCACTGTGAGCCACTTTATAACTTAGGGAAAGTTTTATAATAGCATAGGAAGCTGCTTACCATCAAGTTCCCAGACACCAGTCAAGTCCCAATCTTGTAAGCAGGCCTTTCTAAGGATAACAATCTCAGGCCTGCTATGTTAACTCTTTTCTGCACCCAGGGTAGGTATTAAGTTTAAATGTGTCAATGGAGCCTTCTAACCCACTAGCAACTCTTCCTACCTGGAAATACTGGCTCCCCGGAATGCCCTCAAGCCTCTAGAATTCTATTTTAATAAAATACTTACAGTCTGGAGTAGAAATATAATGCAAGCAGTAAAGCCTACCATGATCACTCTGAACAAAATAAAACTCAAACAAAATTTTAAAATCCAGAAATTTAGAAAGCTGAACCTGCAAGACTTGGTGTATGGGAAATGGCAGTGACAGGTCCTTTTTGCTCCAAAAATTAGTTGGGTCCAGAATTTTCTAAGAAAAAGGTCAAGTCATTTCTGTAAAGACCTTTTTCACAAATTATAAAACTAGGTATTGGTATCCATCTTGATTTTTAAATTTGTACCCTAACTAAATTACTAAAAGGGTAGTCTTTCTCTTTTTTTAAAATTTTATTTGTTTAATTTTAAGGGGTACAAGTGCAGTTTTGTTACATGGATATACAATGTATAGTGTAGTGGTGGAGTGATGAAGTCTGCACTTTTAGTGTAACTATCACCCAAATAATATACAATGTACCCATTATTATAATTTCTCACTCCTCTTCCCACCTCATCCTTCTGAGTCTCCAGTGTCTATTATTCCACACTCTAGGACCATATGTATACATTATTTAGTTTCCACTTATAAGGAAAACATGCAGTACTCGACTTTCTGAGTTGTTTCACTTAAGATAATAACCTCCAATTCCATCCATGTTGCTGCAAAAGACATGATTTCATTCTTTTTTATAGATGAATAGTATTCCATTGTATGTATATGCCACATTTTCTTTATTCATCGATTGATGGACACTTAGGTTGATTCCGAATCTTTGTGACTATAAACAGCACTGCGATAAACATACAAGTACAGGTGTCTTTCTGTACATACAATTCTGTACATACAATAAGTCATTTTCTTTTGGGTATATGCCCAGTAGTGGGATTGCTGGATCTAACGGAGTTCTATTTTTAATTCTTTGAGAAATCTCTATACTGTTTTCCATAGAGGTTGTACTACTTTACATTCCCACTATGTATAAGCGTTCCAAAAAGGTAGTTTTAATTAACCTATATTCATTGCCACAAATGAAATAAATTGTAGAGTAGGTAAAGCTAGTCTGAGCATAATTTTCTGTCTCTTCTTTCTTCTTCTGCCCTCTTCTGCCCCCTCCTTCTCAAAGACACTCAATGCCACCAGGCACTGTGGTATCTGACTTGAACTTGCTTCTTCAAACTGTGTTCCATTCTCCTGACTTTTCTAGTTTCTCCCTTTCTGCTCCTATAATTCTTCCATCTGATCAGGACCCACTGTTTCCTAGGAGGGCAAGTAATTAGTCAAGAAAACTAATTTGTAATAATTCACAGAGGCTGATGTTAATAGGGGAGTGCTAATCTCCCAATCTTTGCTCCTTCCCTTTGTTTTATTCTAACAAAACCCATTCTTTCCTAATTATTATAAAAATCATACATGCTCAATATATGAAAAATTAGTAAAATATAAATGAAGAAAATAAAAATCACCCTTCCTTCTAAAAACCGTACCACTGTTAATTCTGCTATATCTTTCCATTCTTTTTACTATATATGGGTATATATATTTATGTCCTAGGTTGAATTATGCTCCAAAAAGAAAAAAAAAAAAGTTAGTTCAAATCCTGACTCTCCGTATGTGTAACTTTATTTGGAAACAGAGTTTTTGCAGGTGTCATCAAGTTAAGATGAGGTCATGCCAGATTAGGATGGGCCCTATAAATTCAATGACTGGTGTACTTATAGGAGGGAAATTTGGACATAGACACACAGGAAAAAATGTGAAGATGGAGGCAGAGATTGGCATTAGGCTACCACAAGCCAAAGAACACCAAGGATTATCAACAACCACCAGAAGCTAGCAGAGGCAAGGAAGGATTCTTTCCTAGAGACTCTGGACTTCATTCCTCCAGAACTATGAAAAAATAATTGTTTTAAGTCACCCACTTTGCAGTAATTTGTTATGGCAGCTAGGAAATTAATACAATCTATATTTTAAAAATGAGATCCTCTAATACATATTATTTTATAATCTTCGTTTCTGATTTAACAACACATTACCTATGTTTTTCCATGGCACTATTTCACTTTAACAATCCTTTTAACAGGCAACTTAGTTTCCATTTATTGGATAAAAAATGATTTATTTAGTCAGTATCACACTGTTAGATATTTGGGTGATTACCAAATGCTACTCTTATAAATAATGTTGCCATTAACACCCTTTAATAATATAGTTATTAAAGTTACTTCTATTTCTAGAAATCTGGATAGGCTGTATAATTTATGCTCCTATCAGCAGTGCATGAATGTATCCATTTCCCAGCAACAATGGATTTTATAATTTGAAAAAAACTATAATTTTATAGGCCAAAAAAAAATAGTAGTGTTTTGTTTACCTGTGAACAATGCCTGGGATATAGAAAGGCTCAATAAATGCTGGCTCTTGTTTCATTATATTATTGTTAATACAGAATCTATCCTTTCCCCACTTAATCTAAAATGTCCATTTCATCATTTACTAAATTTTTATATGCACTGAGATGTGAACTTTCTGATTGAGTCTTGAATTGTACACCTGCTCTCATAATCTATACACATATGATCAAAAGAGACCTGTAAAGTATTCTTGACTTAACCCACTGGAGTTACTCTAGTGGTATACATTTTAAGCAAGAAAGGAAGAAACCATCCATGGGATATGCATGGGAAAAAACTGGAGCAGACAAGTTTTTATCATATCCCCAAAATCACAACTGCTATCACAACCTAACCTTGGTTTCTTCACATACCAAGAGGTAGCCTTGTCTTCTTCTGTCTCTTTTGAACAGGAGCCTCTAGATGCTCTTCGAGTTCTTCAGTTGGGGGCTCACTACCCTCAGATGGCCTATGAACAGCAGTCTGAGCAAGGCCTTCCAAAGAAGCACTAGCTACAGAAAAACAGAGTAGAAAACAATGGGATACCTTGAGCAGAAACTGAATCTTAAAAAGATGGGGAAAAAGGTAACTAGAATGTTTCCTGTATAATAACTCCTCTCTTTCAGAAATAATTGTGCCCCAAATCTTGATTTCCTCCCTCCTCACCTACAACTCTGTGCTTTAAATTGAAAAGAAATAAATGAGGGAATAAGAAAGGCCGAGGAAAAAAATGGGGAAAGCTAGAAAGAAAAGCAAAAGGTGGGAGGAAGAGAAATTGTCTCAGAACATTTAGAACTTTCAAAAATGTGAAAACATAGTAAAAACTGAAACCATAGAGAACTCTCTTGTCTACAGCCTTAAAAATTTTTATCAGCCTCTATATAGTTTAGTCCTTCATTAATAAATTAATGCATGACAAAGTCATCATGGATAATTGGAGTTATAAATCTCTTCATTTGGTCATTCATTTCAACTTCTTCCCTTATGAAATCTTTTTTTTATTTATTTTTTTATTTTAGTGTATGATGGGGGCACAAGTGTTAAGGTTACATATATTGCCCATGTCCCCCTCCCCTCTCAAGTAAGAGCTTCAAGCGTGTCCATCCCTCAAACGTTGCACATCTTACTCGTTGTGGTTGTATATACCCATCCCTTCCGACACCCAATAAAGGTTACTCCTGTATGTCCACTTAGGTGTTTATCCTTTAATACCAATTTGCTGGTGAGTACATGTGGTGCTTGTTTTTCCATTCTTGAGATACTTCACTTAGTAGAATGGGTTATGAAATTTTATTAAAGAATTTCAACATGTTTTGGCAGATTTGAATTTTACCTGTCTTTCTCACAAAAAAAAAAAAGAAATAGAAATATATTAATAAATGAAAAAAATGCTTAACCTGACTAGTATTTACAGAAATGTAAACTAAAATAAGCTACTTTTTGCTTAGTAAATGAACAAAAACAAAAAAATTTAAAAGATTGATACTGTCTGATGTAAAGGATTTAGAGAATGCAACACTCTGAAACTCCATTGGTTGAGAAAATAACTAGAGCTTCCTTGAAGACAATTTAGCAGAATCTATCATATCAATAATGCACATGTCCTTTATTTAACAATTCCACTGCTAGCAATCCATTGTACAGAAATACTCCTTCCTTACCACCCACTTTTTTATGCAGAACTATAACATTCTTTAGAGTAAAAAGTTTGAAATAACCCAAATGAACAGACCACTGATTATGGTACATTCTTATCATGTTAATATTATGAAGTCACTGTTTAAGAACATATCACTGTGTGTATTAAGGAATAAAGACAGTACATATAGAATAGTATTCCTTTTATGTAAAAACAAAAACAAAAATACTAGCACCAACCACAGAAACCTTTTAGGATTGTGTGAGGTCACAAGTAAAGTATGAGGTTATAAAGGATCAGTTAAAGGTAACTTTGAGGTTTCAAGCCTAAGTGCTGGGAAAATGGCAGGTTCCATTAACAAAATCATGAGAAGTAAAAATTGATTTACTGTTGAAGGTGATGATGGATTCTGGATGTGCTGAGTTTGAGTTACTGATGCAACACCCAGGACTATTAGTAGATAACTAGGACTAAAAGAGGTTCATAGTATCTGTCATCATTGGAGCTTTAGTACTTAAATGATGATGTGGCCTTGCCTTCAGACTCATGCTTTAATGTACGTATTTTCTGACAGAAATAGGGGATTTAAGAACTCTGTGTCTCTAAATCCGATAACTTCTTCAAGGGTCTGTGAGCAATCATAGTTAAAACAATTTATGGGATAAAATACCTCAAAGGGTCCAAGAATGTTGTGGAAGTAAGAGCTAGGTGGTGCAACCCTTTATTCTATGAATGCTTCTAGTTCCTCCTCAGGTGCCCACTGTTCCAAACTGGGCTTAACTCTCTTCAACAAAGCAGTGATATGAAGCTGGTGGGGCCTTGCCTCTCCCTGATCTATGATGTTTATCATGCCTTAGGTCCTGGGAAAACTTGTGATCCCACACAATAGGGATTAACTTCTTACCTAGCGTGTTTTTTGTCCTGGGCTTCTTTTTCTTAGGACGATTAAGTGGAATGTCATCTATAAAACAGAAGAAACATCAACAGAAAGGGTTGCCTAAAATGCAATGCAGAGAATAGTCGGAAGAGAACTTCTAGTAGGGAAGAATTTTCCTTCTCTTCTCTGGGTCTAGTCAACTTCTATACAGCAGGGGAGAAGGCAAGAAATTGACAAGGTCAAAGAGAGCCCATAGTGTGTCACCTATAGCACACTGCTGGTCAGTAATGTTAGAAGCTGTGACACAGAGGCCAGGTGGCCCATGTCTATAATCCTAGCACTTTGGGAGGCCAAGGCACGAAGATTGGTTGAGGAGTTGGAGACCAGCCTGTGCAACACAGTGAGACCCCGTCTCTACAAAAAAATGCCGATCCCCTACATTTCCCAGGCCCCTTGCACTTAGGTGTGGCTTATGATTGATTTCTGGTCAATAGGCTGTGAGCAAAACTGATGGGTTATTTGGGGGCCAAAACATTGAAAAACCCAGTGAGTAACCCTCCAGCTTTTCTTCCCTTGCTATGGGTAGAAGTGATCTGGGTTACTACATCATCAGTAAAGAGGTAGTGGAAGGCAACTGCCCTGGATTATTGCCACAGTGGACTTTGCACTAATTAAAAATAACCCAGGCCGGGCGCGATGGCTCACGCCTGTAATCCTAGCTCTCTGGGAGGCCGAGCCGGGCGGATCGTTTGAGTTCAGGAGTTCGAAACCAACCTGAGCAAGAGCGAGACCCGTCTCTACTATAAATAGAAAAATTAATTGGCCAACTAATATATATAGAAAAAATTAGCCGGGCATGGTGGCGAATGCCTGTAGTCCCAGCTTCTCGGGAGGCTGAGGCAGGAGGATTGCTTGAGCCCAGGAGTTTGAGGTTGCTGTGAGCTAGGCTGATGCCATGGCACTCACTCTAGCCTGGGCAACAAAGCGAGACTCTGTCTCAAAAAAAAAAAAAAAAAAATAACCCAGCCGGGCGAGGTGGCTCACGCCTGTAATCCTAGCACTCTGGGAGGCCGAGGCGGGCGGATTGCTTGAGGTCAGGAGTTCGAAACCAGCCTGAGCAAGAGCGAGACCCCGTCTCTACTATAAATACAAAGAAATTAATTGGCCAACTAATATATATATAGAAAAAATTAGCCGGGCATAGTGGCACATGCCTGTAGTCCCAGCTACTTGGGAGGCTGAGGCAGGAGGATCGCTTGAGCCCAGGAGTTTGAGGTTGCTGTGAGCTAGGCTGACGCCACGGCACTCACTCTAGCCTGGGCAACAAAGTGAGACCCTGTCTCAAAAAAAAAAAAAGAAAGAAGAAAGAAAAATAACCCTGTGTAAGGTTATTAAGTAGCTGGGATTTGGGGGTTGCTAGTATACCATACATAACCTTGCCTATCCTGACTAAATGAGAGAAAGGCAGGTGCAGTCCCTACTATAGAGCTATAAACTAGCCAATAGTTATATTCTGGGTGACTCTATTTAGAGATGAAGTGCTTTTATAATGGTAAGGTCATCTAGTGTTATACATCAACCAAAATTTTAAAATGGCAGTCAAGGGAGATTATTGTGGCAAAAAAAGATACTGTAGAATTACAAATTATAGCATTCAGATTCAATTTTAAGAGAAACAAACTAAGGAATCAAACTAATTTTTGAACACCAAATACTATTTTCAAAAAATTTTACATTAACAGTAAACTAACTTACCTTGAATAGGACTTCACATGACACCAACCAAATTTAATCAAGACAAAGAAAACATAAATAAATCATTAGAACTCTATTATATTGCCAGACTAAAAATTGACTTAATTATAAATCTAAAATAAAATTGGCTTTCACACATCAGCTAGTTTACAAACTACTTATTGTTTATAAGTATTATAAAAAACTGTTTAAGAACACTGCTAATAAAATAACCCCAATATTTTCTGAACCTACATATACATATTCCTTATTGCCTCTTAATAAAGTAGATTAAGAAGATTAAGAACTCTAATTTGTCACTGATTAAAGTCAGCTTAAACTCTAAGGAAACTATTCTAGCAAACAAAAGAGGATCAGAATTCTGATAAACAAGACACTAAACCATTCAGAATGGATTTATTATCCTACAAGGTTGACATTCAGGCTTTTAAATAGAACTTTAAATAAAAAACTTATAAGTAACTATAATTAATAATTATTTAATTATAACTGTTATCCTTATATCTGTAAGTTTTTCATCTTTAAAATTTTAGAAAGTCTTTTCCTAAGATTTTCAGGAAGTTTTTTCTGAATCATTATAATTTTGCAGTGGTACTAGTCAATTTTTCTACTTTTTCATTTTACATTTTTAAAGCTCAATAATGAAATTACTATAATTTTTACCTTGGTACAGGTGGAAGGGTTCGTGGAGGACGCTGCGAGGGGAAAAAAGGATAAAACTGCTTGTAAGTAAAAGCCTAGAGCATATTTACTTCATGTATGTCAAATATCAGAAAAGCATTCTTTAAAAACCTGTTTTTCAGATATGACAGAAAAATATAATGGAAGAGACTAGGATCTTCAAATCTTTTGATAACCCTGTTCATCAGTGAAATCTGGGAGGTACTGATGAGAAACAGGTGGGTAATTTTAAATTTGTTCTACCATTTCTAAATTCCATGTAAAATTCCTTCCTTCCTATGTGTCTTTCTAGCTATAGGCCAGACCTTGTATTAAGCATTAGGGATGCACTAATGAACAAAACAGAGAGATTAAAGCAACATGGAACTTACATTCTAATGGTTAAGTATTAGAAGACAATGTTAAAAATATATGATAATATGTACAATTATATGTATTATACATGATAAAATGTATATTTATATATTTCTCAAATATATGATAGTGAATGAGGGAAAATGAAACGTCTACTTTAGTTAAGGAAAGTAGGAGGCAACATTTCAGGCAAATACAAAGGCCTTTATGCGAGACTGCGCTTGGAATGTTCCAGGTAAAAGGACAGCAATGCTGCAGGACAGTTATCAAGGAGAGGTAGGCAGCACTGCAGGGTGGCTCACGCCTGTAATCCTAGCACTCTGGGAGGCCCAGGCGTGGGGATTGCTCTGAGTTTGAAAGAAGCCTGAGCAAGAGCGAGACCCGTCTCTACTATAAATAGAAAGAACTTAATTGGCCAACTAATATTTATAGAAAAAAATTATCCGGGCATGGTGGCACATGCCTGTAGTCCCAGCTACTCGGTAGGCTGAGGCAGCAGGATTGCTTGAGCCCAGGAGTTTGAGGTTGCCATGAGCTAGGCTGACGCCATGGCACTCAGTCTAGCCTGGACAACCAACAAAGTGAGACTCTGTCTCAAAAAAAAAAAAAAAAAAAGGAGAGGTAGGCAAAAGCCAAATTAACTAGGGTCTTGTAGACTGAGGAGTCTGGATTTTGTTTTAATTCAGTGGGAAAACAATGGAGGTTTTAAGCCACATAGTAAAATACTTTTTTAAAGATCACTTGAATACAGAGTGAAGAATGGATTTTAGGGCAGAAAGAATAGACGGGAAAGCCTTTATAAATGCTGTTTTATATGAATAAGAAAAGTATTGGTAGTTCAGAAAGCATTACAGTTAAGAAGCATTCTGTAATCTTTCAAAATAAAATACTAACAGAAATGTCTACAAGTCAATTTAATGTTCCAAGTATCTCATGGTGCTTGCAAAAAACATTGATTCAAAAGGGCGAAATTTTAGACATTCTTTCAGTTTGTTCCCTTTAGTTCAAACATTAGATTAATACAAATGCTACCAGATTAGGACAAGCACTGTCTAAATACCATTCGGTAATCAAAATTACAACTGGAAAATAAAGACAGTCAAAGGAAAGCGCTATTGTTCTAAAGATGCTAGGAAGCGCGTTCTATCATAGGACCTAGTTCACATAACTCCTCATTTCAAAAGTCCCGCAAAAATGACGTTTCACCCATCCAGAGTCCCAACCTCTAAGTCGCTCAAAAGTAGGACAGCTCAAGTGAAGACAAAAATCCTAACATCTCAAAAGTAACTTAAGACTCGCTTACCACTTGCTTCTTCCCCATGCTCTTTCGCCGCCCCAGGCGCAGGGCGCCACACCCCGCCCCGCCCCTCCCGGCCGGGCGCGCAGGCGCTACGCGTCATCGGGCTGCGCCGCCCAGGCAGCTCCCAGCTGCAGGCCCGGGAGACTTTGGGGCGAGGGGTGCGCGAGCACCTAACCTGCCCTCTCTAGACCAGCCCTGCAGAACAAATGTGCCTAGGAGTCTGGGGTTGCCGTGCCCAGGGGCAGAGGTCCAGCGCGCGCAGGGCTGCTACCACTGTTTCCCCATGGTTTTCTAAGTGGTTGCAGTGATTTGTTTGCGGGGAGGGAGGACGTGAGGGAAGGCCTTGATTAAAATTCTCCGCAGGCAAACGTTGATCTCTTTTCCGGGTGGCTCAAAAGCCTTTCCTCCGGTAGGAGTCTGTAGGAGAGGCCTTGCTGGCAGCCTCAGAACCCGCCAGGCCTGGGCCGCGGAGAACTGGGGCGTTGTCGTGGCAACGTGGACTGAGGTCCCGGAAACTTTCGCCTCGTCTCCACCGGGAGTTAAGGTCCCGGCCTCGCCAGGCCCCCGTCCAACCCTGGGAAAGCTAAAGGGGTGGATGCGCTCACCCCACGATCAGGGCTCTCCCCTAGGGAGCCCCAGCTCGTTGGCGTCGGCTCCGCCCCGAGGGTAGCTGCTTTAGGGCACCCTCTGTCTCACCACCTTTTGTGGCCGACGCGACCCGCACTGCTCACCGAGGGTCCCTCCTCCAGCCGAGGCCCCGAGTCGGCCCTCATGATGCTCTTTGCGGGGCTCCCCCGGCGCAACCGCCGCCCGCCCGAGCCTAGCTCCCCGCGACGCGGCGGCCTCCGGGACCTGCGGGAGGTGGGGGCTTCGCCGTGCCCGGCGAGGCCAGGTCCCCGCCCGCCTCTGCACTGCTACGCGTTCCTAGGTGGCTGGATTAGGGACAAACTCATTTGTTCCCCAGGCCCTAGGGAATTCCATGCGTGCCTGGTAGTGGGTGTGGATTAATATAAGCTTTTCTCACATTTTCTTCAGTTTCTTACCCTTTCTTACAAAAGTGTGTAAATCAAGTTTGGGAAAACTTTTTCTCAAAAAGAATCTCAACATAAAATCAAATCTGAGCTCACGTATCATAAAAAACGACTTAATTTTCGTGTTTTTGTTTGGTGGGGCTTTTTTTAAAAAAGAAATAAACCTTTTTCTCTTAAAAAAACTACAAATATTTTGAATCACACACTCTGTTTTATAGTTTTTTAAAAAGAGATGGAAAGGGCCGGGCGCGGTGGCTCACGCCTGTAATCCTAGCTCTTGGGAGGCCGAGGCGGGCGGATTGCTCAAGGTCAGGAGTTCAAAACCAGCCTGAGCAAGAGCGAGACCCCGTCTCTACTATAAATAGAAAGAAATTAATTGGCCAACTGATATATATATAAAAAATTAGCCGGGCATGGTGGCGCATGCCTGTAGTCCCAGCTACTCGGGAGGCTGAGGCAGAAGGATCGCTCGAGCCCAGGAGTTTGAGGTTGCTGTGAGCTAGGCTGACGCCACGGCACTCACTCTAGCCTGGACAACAAAGCGAGACTCTGTCTCAAAAAAAAAAAAAAAAAAAAGATGGAAAGGATGGATGAACCGTGTGGATATGGACAATGAATGATGCAAAAGATTAACAAATACAGGGACAGGAAGAGTGACTGGAAGTCTCAGATCTAGGGGAAGAAAAATAAGACTTTGTAATAGCATCCTCATCTTGCGGTTTTCTCATTTATAGGTCTCTAGGACTAGTCCATTGCCCTTTCCGAATTGAAGAATACATGTGGATATTGGCTTTTAGGAAAATTAGTAATTGTTACAAGCTCTGATAAAAATAATTATTTCCTTGTAGCCTGATTTGTAAATAATGAGGGCAGTGCGGTTTCTGTGGGTTTTGATGTAAGACATGAAATGTGTATATTTAACCTTTCTTGCTGAGTTACTAGACACTTTTTGCAAAAAAAAAAAAGTTTCATAAAACAAAGTTTCATAAAGTAAAATACAGTTTCTGAAATTAAATACTGCTTATTTTATTTAGGAAAACTCTATCTGATTCTTACAAAGACCGTATGAAATTCATGAAAGGTTCTCATACTCAGTGATTTAACATTATTCATATTTTTACCACTGCTGCACATGAGGTAAAGGAAAAAGATATTTCCTAAGAGCCAAATAGGTAACTACATACCTGTACAATTTTTTTCAAATAAGATTAATTAATAAACTACACGTTTAAAGTTGCATGCATTATAATGGGTCAAATACTGCTGTTTTAGATTGCAGCTGTTATTCCAGATCTCTGTAACAAGCATACAGTGTTAAAAATACAGCATCAGAAGGCTTCATTAAGACTCAGTACCAGAGGAAATCCATGTTGCTGGTACCCACTGAGGCTCTTCCTGAGCTTTCTGTATAACAGACAACAATTGGGCACATGCATCTTGCAAGTTGTCATTGACAATCACATGATCAAAAAATTGGCCAAACTGAGTCTCTATTTTCTGGGCTAACTCCTCCATTTCTTGTAGATCTTCATCCTTCAAAAGAAATATGGATAAGAAAGAAAGAAAAATATGGATAGCACAGACTTTATGAGGCAAACAGAAAAAAATATACAATTTATTGTCATGTTCAATTGTGAAGCTATTTATAAAAACAATTAGGCCAAATAAAGATCTTCTGAACTACGGAACTTAGTTTTCAATCTTTAGTCTTACTTAATGTCTGGTCAATGTTTTATAAAATTTAGTAATAGTTTGTAGATAGATTACTCCCCTCACCTAACCCATGTGGACTTAAATTATTTTACTCTATTATCTAAACACTTGAAGCTCTTAAACCATACACAACGTAAAGTCAAAGAAAATTTACTAGTTTAAATAAAACGTGAACATAGATTTCAAGTGAACATTACTCTGATAAGAGTAATGTTATTTTGCAGATACAAAATGGTCACTTTGAACATGTGGATGATATGACCTGGTTCTGTTGAGTTGAGCATAGCCTTTGCTTCATGATGACTTAATTCACATATAGTATTGTCTGTTTCTACTATTGTGAAATGTCCATTCAATGAAGGTCATTTGGCCTTCATTTGGCACTGATACATTAAATTCATTTCTGTTATTTTCTTATTTGTCTATGACAATTAAAAGAGTACAACTTGTTACCAGTGTAATCTTAAATACAAATTCAGGCGCTGAAATCTTGCAGCAGTACTCCTTTACAAGGTGACCATACATATGATCCAGAAACAATTTTGTTAATTTATTTAGACTACCATAAAAAATAAGAACACAAATTTAAATGCCCACAAGAATCAGAAAATCCTTAGACTCCACTCTTTCAAAAGGCAAACTGGAAAATGAGACTTTCATAGTCATTGAAAAAAAAATGAAGCTAAAAATAATGAGATAAAAGATAATATAAAGATACCTCATGCTTGCTTTGGCAGCACATATACTAAAATTGGAATGATACAGAGATTAGTATGGCCCCATGCAAGAATGATACACAAATTACTGAAACACTCATAGTTTTAGTTTCAGTTTTGCAAGGCAAAAAAATTCTGGAGATCTGCTTCATAAAAATGTGAATAAACTTAACATTACCAAACTGTACACTTAAAATGGTTAAGATAGTAAGTTTTATATTATGTTTTTTACACCCCCCACACACACACAAAATAAGTAGCTGTAATATCTTAATCTGGGTGGTGGTTATCTAGGTGCATATACATATAAAAATTCATTATACACTTAAGATTTATATACCTTATATGTTACGACTCAAAATATTTAAAGTAGACTTAATGTAAAATATATATATAACTGGAAAAATTCCACCTATTCTAGGATGAGTTCACTAACACACCTGGCTTGGTCCTTCTATATCACCATCATAATTAATAAGCATTTTTTGTGAGATATATTACAGATGAGATACACTCACTATAGCATTTTAAAGTAAACTTTCAAGTAAAAATAATCTGTTTAAAATACAAATATCAGACTTGTACACACCCAATCTCTGTATTGATTTGTGTTGATTTGCAAACTGATTTGGGGAGTCTTTTTTTAAGCTAGAGCCCAAAAAATAAGAAAAAAAATAAGGATAGCATCATAGCATTTATTAAACTTTATTTTGATGTCTGTAAGTAATGTCCAGTAAAAGGGATAAATCATAAAGGCATTATTCATTAGGAACAAAAATTACATTCTGTAACAGGGATCCTGTGGAAACAATACAATAATTTTTATTGAGAGTCATCTAGGGAGGGGGTTGGAAAAGGAGGAGAATGACAATGAGATCTGATGTCCTCAGCCATGCCCAATCCGAATCACCCTAGCCTCGAAGTCACTGAAAGCAATAAGGTGATTTTTGACTTGATCTTACCTTGAACTTCATGTCCACAAAGTAGTCGGTAATAATCTTGGCATTTTTCCGAGATTGTTTCATATAACTCATGTTAGATGGCTTTATAAATATGACATAGGGCTTTAGCTCATGAGTTCGAGCCACTTGAATATCCTACACAGAAAAATGCACATTTAAAAACAGAAGTCCCTGCCCATCTCTACTGATACAAGGAAAATAATAAGAGTGAAAATAAATAAATAATAAAAACAGAAGTCCTAACTTCCTGGAGTCAATATGAATGTTCTAAAATTTCTAAGACTAGAAATTAGCAATTATTTTTAGCCAGAGTATAGTCTTACGTCCTCAATTCTATCTCTTACTAGCTATGACTAGCTATTGAAATCTTACTGGCTGAGTGAGACTTTATAGATGACAGAATCTTTTCTACTGAGAAGATTCTGTACATGATCTCATGACAAAGATAAAGACTCTCAAGATCAGCTGTTTCACCCTCATTTCCCTTCCCTCTTGCTGATGTCTCACATTGGATACCACTGCCATCTTCACACTGACCCCCAGCTTTGACCCAAGTAAGAACAAATCTCTCTTCCCCTGATTCTCATTAGCACACAAAGTATATTTTTAAATGACTATAAAGAACACGCAAAGAAAATACAAAGATTATAAAAATTGGGCCTATAGATTGCCTTAAATTGGTCTTGTCTTAACTTGGTCACCTCTGCTCCATTCCACATAATGGCTCAGGGAAAAAGGCACAGACACGATGACACAGAAACCTCATCTTGTGTAAAGCTTGTGTAAAGCTTCCTCCACTAGAAGTTACCTTGATGCCTTTGTGATCAAGGTCAAAGCAAGAAAGATTCTAACTTTTCTTTATGGTCACCCACTCAGTTCTGCTTTTGTATCTAAGAAGAAAGACTTCCTCACCAATTAAAAACAAGATGTTGGCAACTGATGCTTCCAATAAAATCTTAGATAAGAGAAGTGGTCTTAAAAAGCTAACAGAGGCCGGGCGCTGTGGCTCACGCCTGTAATCCTAGCTCTTGGGAGGCCGAGGCGGGCGGATTGCTCAAGGTCAGGAGTTCAAAACCAGCGCTCACCCCCTCTTTTTTACACATACAAACTCTCCTATTCTCTTTTCATCGCTGGTCTCTCTCAACATCACAAACTTCTAACTCACCGCAATTCTTTGCTCTACACTGAGTGCTTGGTATCGCACAGCAAGTGTGTATGAACTTACATCATGTAGTTGTGATTATCGATCATACCGGATATCCACTGCGTGATTTCTCTTTTCTTTATTCTTCTCCCTGCCACTGCCTTCCGCATTTGTCTCTATAACCATCCCCAACGGTGAGTGTTCCCCCTAGACTTCGGTCAACTTGTCTGTACATGAAAATAAATCCTTAAATTCCATTTCCTCTACCCGAGAAAATACTATGAACTACCTCTCTTTTGAAAATATCCTAACAATCCTCTCTTGCGACTCCGTATCTCTTGATGCTAAGGACTCACCGGACAGCAACCACGTGCTGCGGGTCACCTGCTCTTTTGCGCTGTCACCGACCTTCTCCACAGAAGCTGGTGGCCTCGGCCTGCCTCGCCATACCCTTCCCTCTCTGCGCGCTCTGCTCTTCTCGTCGCTCCCAGCTCCGCCGAGAGGAAGACCCTCACAGACGCCACCACCGCGCCTTCTCGCCAGGCACACGCCGAGAACATCATTTGCAGGCACCAGTGAAGCCAAAGTGAAAATCTCCTTGTTCAAAATTTTAAGCGACTTTCAGATGCGAATAGGAGAGCATTAATCCGTAAGCGTGGTATGCTGTCTAAGGCACAGGCCTGTATAACTGCACAGTTTTAATGCCCAATGAAGTCCACCATTCCATGCGGGGAACATCGGGGCGCTCGATTCAGTCACCTATCAGCAATGTACCACCCTTCGCTGAATTCTATAAGCCCACAGAACCCTAGAATGTTGAGGCTGTTTCTGTGTGTATACTAGAAACTTCCATTGAATAAACGGAAGCATACGCTCTCGATCAGTTATACTAAAATAGACCAGGTAATTTTCATCCGGCATGCACAATGATAAGCACGCCAAAGTTTGCTGGGGTGAGAAGTCCTGAAATTCCGACCCTCATTTCGGAATGGTCGAAGCACCGTGTGCGCGTTACAGCTACTCCCATGGGCACAGGAAAATCCAAGAGTTTTTCTGGAGTTGTTCTCAATTCGTCCGAGGAAAGAACGTTAACGCCTTATTCTTCCTAAACGCCCATTGTTGTTCCCCAAGTTTCTTCAATAAACACGGAAACTGAAATGAACTATTTTTACGACATAATTCCACTATTTACTCCCACATGCTAAGTGGTTTCTGGTATGTCACTCTTTTGTGTTCAGGGACCATCTGGAGGCTATGGAGTAAATGACACTAAAGAAGACACTTATTAATCACTTTATCCCAGCATTCAAAAGTGCTGTCGGCCCACGTACTGTTGAGTTTTTTCCTTTCATAATAGTTCATGTTTTGGGCATAACAATTTTCTTTACCTTTTCTACTCGATCTCACTTCTAATACATGGTCATCATCTTGTTTTTAAAACAATACGAAGACACACAAGGACTATCATTAAGTATTTATACCAAGATCAGGACAGTACCAGCTGCTGGGGTACTGCTTTTGTGTCAAGACTTCTTACAAACGCTGGTGGTGACACTGCTGCAGTAGCACTTCCATCCTCTAACTGCCCCATCCTGTTTGTGTAGTTCAGCCTGCGGAGGCAGGTAGGAAGACCCCTACAACGAGCGCAACACTCTTCTCAGCCACGGAACACAGCGAACCATCATTTGCAGGACCCAGTGAGAAAATGAAAAGGATACTGTATATATCCATTTATCCTCCATATGTTTACAGGTAATAAAGAGAATATTCGATGTTAGATGCGTGGTTAGCCAGCTAGCGTTTCTTTAAAAGGCTAACTCGTCTGATTTTTGTCTTTTTACTTTTTTTTAATTTCTTTTCAAAATGCTTCAGCATATTACGGCTTTCATGGGGCGAGTACCCAACATGTTCAAGCGCGTTATGGTATACCATGGGCCCATACCCCCACCCTCGAGTTGGAGCGTTCCAAGCATGGACCATCCCCCCCAACAGGCCGTTGCACATCGTAACTCATTATGTTGTACTACTAAGCCCATCCCTCATCCCCCCCAATATCCCCACTCCTGCCCAAACACTCATAAATGTTTTTCTATGCATGTGCCACTTACATGTTGATACCATGTACAATAGTAGACAGATTGCTGGTGAGTACCATGTGTCGCTTTGTTTTCTCCATTCTACTAAGTGAAGTATCTCAAGATGGAAAAGCAGAGGCACGCACAACTGTATCTGCCCAGCAAATTGCTAATTCTCCAATGGAGTCAAACATGTAACAGTGGACATATAGGAAAAACATTTATCGACGGTGTTGGGCAGGTCTGGGATACTTGGGGGGGCGATGAAGGGAACTGGGTATCACTAAACAGACATAATGACGTAGCATGTGCACACGTTTCGGGGATGGTCATGCTTGACGCTCCAACTCGAGGTGCCCGCCGGTATGGGCAATTACATAACCTTACTCTTCTGTCACCCCGCACGTTATCTAGTGCCGCGAAACTTGCTAAAAAACATCTAACAAAAAATAAAAAAGAAAACACAGACAGAGTTACCCTTTTAAAAACTAGCTGGGCTACCACCACTAAAACAAATTACTCTTTATTAACTTAACACATATTCGGATAAAATGGATAACATATCTTTTGCATTTTTTCACCTGGTCGCTGGCAAATGATGTTGCCTGGCTGTTCCTGCTGAAAGGCATGTTGTTCTGCTCTTTAGCGGC